CCAAATCAGTAACTAGTCGATTTATTTTAATATTGCATAGCTCTCCACACCCGATATAAGATGTTTGTTAAAACTATTTTTGAATTTTCAGTACGGAAGACATGCAACTATTATTTTAAGAATAAATACGAAGACAGTCTTTTTTGTTGGTAACCCAAACATACTGTTTCAATTTAAAGTTGGTCAAAGTCAAAGAAATGTTAAGGGCTGAACTGACATAGATAAGTCTACAAAGTATAGGAAAAAAATGTATTTACAGCATAAAAAAACAGATTAAGTTTGATACTACTGGTTAGAATAAAGCCAGAGCTTTCTGCTGACAGACTCTACACCTTTCTTCTGCCTCATATGACAGATTAACCCTTCTTTTTTGGTTCTTCATGACGATTAACTTAATGTTTGACTTTAGCCTGGCAAATCTTATTCCTGCTGTCTCGTGGATCAAGTCTATTGGCCTGAGTTTAAATAGAACTTGGGGTCAATGGTTGCTTGGATTTTTCACGATTTTGAATCATGCGTTTGAAATTGTTTTCTAGGATGGCATCTTTTAGAAATATCTGAATACACAAGGGGGTTTATTATCCATTCTACTTTCCGTCCAACCTATAGCTATATATAAAGAGCTAAAAAGCTGCCATGCTTATAGGCCAGACTATTTGCAATCTGAGCTTAGCTCCAGGTCCCCGGTCCTTATGAGGACTGGAGGGGTTACATCAATAGAACTATTCAATCTGAGCTTAGCTTCTATCATCATTAATGATAATGATTGATGACAGAATCTACATCATTACTGATCTCTACACCCACTGAGGGTTTCCAGATTATGATTTATTTAAATGATCCTAGAAGATCATTCTTCTGGTCTTGTTAACTCTTTTTTCTGCAGTGGTTTTAACTTGAGAGTTATTTCCTCAGTTAGAAGAAAATACACTATCATTGTTTCATTGTCTCCAGATCCTGATTGTGCCATTTCAGGATCATAGTGAGTTCATACAGTTCCTCTGTCCTTGCTCTTGCTCCTCTGTCTGCCGCTGGACCTCCGCCTCTGATCTCCAGGTTGACAAGCCTAGCTACACTATCTCCCTTTCTGACATTATTATAGCTGAAGAACGTAATGCTCTGCCCTGGGATTAGAACTTGGATATCGTTAGATTAGTTCAATGATTGAATCAAATACTACTGAATACAAAAAATCATTGTTATTTTTATTATTTAAATTGCAATGAATGATGCTGCTTTCCTGAGTTTTGTTGTACTCCTTGATAAATATGGTTATTCTCAAGGGCAACATGGTTTGGGCTTACGTATAAGACGCACACAGTGAGGAACAGGTCAACAAAGGTATACTCAGGATCCAGGGCTTCCTTACCGACTTCCATGCTGAGGAGTTGTTGCTTTGTACTGGTGGATCAACAGTTGAAGAGAATGGCTACTTGTTCAAAGTTTGACATAATGAACATACAGTCAAAGATTTCCACAAAAACGAACACCAGTGCTTCAGGGATTTCTGCAAGAAGTCTATCATTGTTGTTTGTGAATTCTGTTTGGAGACGAGCTTCTATTTTTTGTTAGGAATCTTCGACCAGGGTAATTCAAGAAAATGAGAACTCTTGGTAAAGAAGGAATTGGCATGATCCACCTTCGCCCTTATAATGCTGATTTCACTTGGTTGGGCAGGGTTCATAAGAGATTCTGCCTTTAACTAGGCAATGAGCAATTTGCGTAATCCATTCAACACCCTCACTTCCTCCATGTTCAGGGCCTATTTGAGCTTTATCGTTTCCAACAATAATACTTCTGGTGTAGGTTTGGTTTGATCCTACGTCCATTTCTTGAGCCAGGGACCAAACCACAGGGGGGGGGGTAGTCAGAGCCTGTTTTTAAAAAAAATACAATTATTCACTCTCTGTATTTTAAGCTGATCCTACATCCATTTCTTGAGCCAGGGACCAAACCACGGGGGGGGGGGGGAACCCAGAGCCTGCTTTGTAAAAAAAATGCGATTATTCGCTGTCTGTATTTTAAGACGTTTATGGTATCATGATTGTAATAATGATCAGTAATACTTCATTCATACTCCATCTCCATGCAGGTCCAAATGCGTCCTCACACAGCACTCTAATTCTTTCTGACTTTCCTGAGTTTTGGGGAGTTGGCATTCTATGTTGCCCGAACATGCCCTTTAAAATTCCAAAACAGAGAGAGGGGGATTGAATTTTGTAGATCCAGAAATTAGTATTTATTTAGGGTTAGATTAGGTTAAGAAACTTTCTGGGCCAAGCGCTGTGGCTAGAACAGGCTAGGGGGACGAGCGCTGCGGCCACATGTCTTACATTTAAGACCCCACCAGCTGCCAGCTCTACACAGGCATCCCACAGATATTATTTTTCTGGATCTACAAAATTCAATCCCCCTTTCTTTGTTTAGGAATTTTAAAGGGCATGGGCGCGCATCATAGAATGGCAAATGCCTGAGATTGGTTGTACTCCTTGATAAATATTGTTAGTCTCAAGGGCAACATTGTTTGGGCTTACATAAGACGAACACCGTGCGTAACAGGTCAACGAAGGTATACTCAGGATCCAGGGCTTCCTTACCAACTTCCATGCTAAGGAGTTGTTGCTTTGTGCTGGTGGAACAACAGTTGAAGAGAATGGCTACTCGTCCAAAGTTTGACATAATGAACAGAGTTACATCAATGGAAGTATCCTTTTTCGAGCTAATGAGCTCATAATGGTTAGAATGCAGTACACATCTTTCATATTCATACTTGACTATTGTTAATACTGTGATCAGTTTATACATAGTAAAGATTCATGGTACACAAATCTATTATTTTGTCAAGGTCAAAACTGAAACTGAAAAAAATGTTTAAAAACGGGTAAGCAAAATGCTTAACCCCTTAACAAATCTTCATTTTTTTAATCTTTAAGTGAATGAAGTGATTTATAGAAAATGTTAGTGCAAGGTAGGTGCAGGTGAAGGTGCAAAACATTTTTTTGGAAAATTTGTAACTCTTAACCTAACTGCATGATAACAAAAAGAAAATAATAGATTAAATTTTAATATCCATAGAAAGTAATCTATGAATACATTATTTTGAGAAGAAGAAAAGCATAAATTACTCATAACTTTTTTCCTTACTTGAATTAATTAACTAGTGCCATTAAGTACAACTTGCAGTATTATAATTTTGTTTTTGTTTTATTTACATGATAAACTTAAGTTTTATCATTTAACAACTTGCAGGTAACCTCCAAAAAAATTCTCTGAAAAAAAAGTTTTAGGAAATTTGCATTACATTGTTTATACTTCACACACGCATTTGTGTTTTCAAAGTGATACACCAGCAACACTCCAGAGGATAAAATACAACAGAAATGGTGCTGCTTGCAGCCATATACAAGACCTCAACATTATATGTCTACTTCATATCCATTATGCATATTTTTCCTTTTTCTTTTGTAAAACTATATATTCAAAAATTTATTTAAACAAATTTAAACTACACCATTTATCTTTGTGTGTGACTAAATCTTTATAATATTGTTGACATATGCTCAGGACTTGATTAGCCCTTGCTAGAGTTAAACAAAGGTGACTGGTCTCTCTCTTCTTGGTGAATCAATGATAGTTGCAAAAAATATTTATTTCAAACCTGAAAACATAAATGATGTAATTATAAAGTTTAACATGTTATTGAAATGCTGGTATATATTTTAAAAAATGACAGGAGAGTGAACTTAAGAAAATACAAATAATGAATGGCACAGTTTTAAAGTTGTTGGGTGAGCGGGGTATATATTTATAAACTAATAAATTATTAAACTATTGTAATGTTATTCAGAATATTGTTTTGCTTCAAAAGTATATTAGGTTTTTTGTTCCATTCTAATTACTTTCCTAGACTGTACCTCATCAACAGGTTTTGTACACAAATATATTCAAGGGGCAAAGAAACTTTTAAATAAATGTTTTATCAATATTACATGTATGTTTTATATCGAAAAGAGATTGCGACGACCAGTGCAAACAAACACTTTGGCCATACAATTTTTTTTAATTTGATAATGTTGATTATTTCCATATCCAAAATCAAAAAAAAAGTTTCTTTCAAAAATAAATTGAAGAAAATAGAAAATATTATAATTGTTAAATCAAGCATTTAGTGTTATAAAAAATTCTAACGTTGAGATTTTGGCCCATAATAAAAAACTGAAAATTTTTATTTTAAACCCTTGGCATACTATTTGTATTTAAAACCCGAATTTACTTTAAAGTACAACTAAATTCTAGGTAATTAAACCCGAGAAGACTGAAATTGTGGAAATAAAGCTTGTTAGAGATGACTTCAAGGATGTACATGGATTGGAAGATTTAAGCCTCAATAACTTTCCTGAAAAAATTCTGCGCCAATGGATTTTTTGGAATGTATTAATTTTACAATAAAAATAAGAAAAAATTCTCAGGGTAAAAAGACAACAGCACGTCCATTTTAATGTCTCGTTTTTCCCTATAACTGTACATGTCTGATGTTTATACTACCCGTTCTGACCTACTGTCAGATATTTGTAGGCCTGACATGTGTTCTAGTCTAGTGTCTAAAATCCATATGAAAATGAATGTTTATAGAATGAAGAACCAAAAAATGCAGTCTTTAAGCTCTAGCAATTATAGCTCTGGGTCCAGTAAGTTTTTGTTGAAAGGTAATTTTATTCGATATTTTGAATGTTAGTCATAAGACTTCTTAGTTATAATTAAATATAGTAGATGATTTCTTTTGCTCGCTTTGAAAATGAAAAACCAACATAAAATATTATTAATAATTTTGATTTTTTAGTTTCCGATTCGAGGATTCCAGGAGAGAACATAGGAACAGACTACATTTCAAATTTTATTTATTTTTAGAAAAAAAGTATAATTTTTGAGTAACTTTTATAGTTTCTTTTAATTAACCAATTATTAGGATCCAATTTTTAAAGTTAGTCTGAATCTTTTGAATCAAATCTTTTCCATCTCACGGGCTCAGTAACATTTTGCCTTGTTATACTTTGCCAAGTCACATTTTGCCTGAGCCTTCCAGAGGTATTAGACCTAATTTTACCTTTCAACTTTGTGTGCAGCACCAGGAGATAACAATCTATTAAATTATATTTTCCACCATTTCCTAGGCCTTCATGGTCTTTTCAGGCCCAGATGTTTCCTTGTCCTTTAAAAACGAAGCAAACAGTTCCAAAGAGATGAAAATGAAAAAAAAAAATTTTAGAACTTGATGAAAATAAAATTTGTCATTTTAGCTCATAGAGATTTACAATCTAACAAGCAGTTCATGAAAATTCAACAGGGTAGGTAAAAGTAAGAATCTTTTTTTTCAAAACGGGAGAATTTTTGATTATTACAGAAATTCGGGATCGAGAAAGTGAGAGGAAAAGAAGATCTATCCAAAAGGGTTCAGTGAAAATAATGGAAGAGGATGTCTTTTATGTAGACTCAAATAGAGGAATAGCAACATCATCGGTTTGTCCATATATTTTTTGTTGAACTAATATTTCTAAAAATAGAGAAAAACACAGCTAGTAGAAAAAAGCCAATTTTTAAACAGTTTTTGAAATACTAAAGTGAAAAAGGGGTTTGAGCTTTTTAAGATACGTGTATTGATAGAAAAAAAGTTAATTAATTTGTGTTGCTAAGTTTCTAGAATAACCCTGGTTCTAAAATGGACCTTATACCCTTTTATCTCTATATGTAAATTTTACTTTATAAACATTTTAATAGCACTAAAAGCTTTTGACAATTTTATCAATAAAATATTTTCATTTTGAGTCTGCTTTCAAAATTTACTTTTTTATTCATTAAAAGGAAATTCAATTAACAACAAATATATGTTAAGGGTGCAAAGGACATACGAGGGTTTATCTTAAAACAACGAAAGTATCTTGAACTTCTGTCTCAAGCTCATTTTAAGGATTTTCATGGTAAGAAATGTTTTTCTAACGAATAAGAAAAATATTAAGATACTTTTCAGAAATTTTATTTAATATATAAAAAATTCAACTTTTAAATCATGTATTAACGATACTAAATCTTTTGAAATTACTAGTTTCTTTTCATTAATTTAACTATAAGCTTTTTCTTTGTTCATTATATCTATAAGAAAATTACGGTAAAATTTTTATTGGTGAGAAATCCTGAAATTAATTTGTAGGAATATTTGTAATCCTAACTGGCCATAAACCACTCCAGAGAATAAATATCCTGTCATACTCAAACAATTATTTTTAAAGTTTTTTTTTCAAATCATTGTATGAGTATAACAACACAAATTCATGGTTTAAATTTAATTCTATGAATTTTTAGAATGTTGGCTACTGAGAGAGCAAGGAGAAAGAGAATTAAAGGTAAAATTCTGTGGTAAAAATAGTCTTCTCCTATGTTCCTTAATTTCAAAAACAAACATCCATAATTATTGGTGTAAATTGGCCATAAAACAGGATTTTTGTCATATTTAAACCCTGTTTCTTTTCGACATTTGTCATTTTCAAGATGGGTAAATGTATAAATCAAATAGAAAAAAATGGAGACCACATGTTTTAAGTCTGCTCCTAAGCTATTTCTTTTGTTTAAAAAAAATCTTGAAGATTTTCAGACCAGTTTGATATATTTTTGCGCCGCGCAGAGTCATATGGAAAAAAACCATATGATTCAAGTCTGCTACTTTTCTCCTTTTAAAAAATAAATCAAAATGACTTAAAATTTTTTAAGAATTTCAATTATTTCAATTTACTATTTTCTATTTGGTTTATATTTAGCCTATTGAAAATTACAAATGTTGCAGAGAAACACTGTTGAAACATGACATAACCCCCATTTTGATTTTGGGGGCAGTTAAAACACATTTCATGACACGTGACAATGACAAAAAAATTGGCAATATTTAATTGATTGAAAAGTGCACATCTTAAAAAATCAAATCATTGTAATTTTTAGAATAAAAAAAATATTGAAGATCCTTAAATTTGAAATCTTTGCAACTAATGTTAGACAGATTTTGAGCTGTATCTGTTTCTTTAACATTAAAGTATGAAGACATTAACATTTGGACATAATTAAAGGTTTTATTAAATTAACTAATACCAGATAAATTCATCTCTGGAAATTTACAAAAATGTGAGTCTGCTTAAGTACGAAATGTTTATTTATAATTAAAAATGTAGGATGTATAAAAGCTATTCTTAGAAACACTGATGCACTGTCAATCAGGACAAATGTTAACAACTTAAATTTCATAAAACAAGAAGTATTTTAATTTATAAATATCAAATATATGAAAGGATAAAAGAAGAAATTGGTTTAAGGTAATCTCTGTGGTATTTTACTTTATTCTGGCGCTCAATCAGTTTGTAAAACAATAGGCAGGCGTTGGTGATTAATAGACTATATATAGACAACTATAGGTTGATTAATTGATTGGTAGACTCGTTGACTTGAATAGTTGACTAAGCTTCTTAACTCGGACACAGTAGTTGCAAACATACACATAAACGAATATATTTCAAACCTGCAATAAAATGTAGATATAGTATAAATAAATGACAAAGTATAAATGTCATAGAATGATTAATAATATTACTTACTATTTTATCGTGTCAGAGTGATATTTAGCAATTAAGGATTGGTGGGTTTGATGGAATAGTCTAAAACAATTGGTAATACTTCTGAAAATATAAACCTGGTTGTTTAAGAGGCATTAACTATGAACTGCAAAGTTATTTATGGATTTGATTTTTTCACTGGTAAAACGTTTCACAGTTTCAATTTTCCTTTGTTGGGGTACAGTTGGAGAATTTGTTTGGTTTGGATTTTAGGGCTGGTAAAGACAACATTAAGGGAGGGTTTAGGAGATAGGTTTATGGTCAACACAGCTGTAAATAATTTATTTCTTACTGATTTTCTTTAATATAAGTTTTTAATAATACATAATCACTAGATGGTAAGTAGTTTTAAAAAAAATGTTCTTTCTTTTTTTGTAGTTGGGCAATTCTATCCTAGCGTGCATGTATCTTGATAAAGCAGTAAAGTTTAGTCATGGAGATACAACTTTACGGATTATAAGGTAAACTTCCATTCTAGGTAGGAACGTATGAAAAATCATATAAATAGCGAAAACTTTTAATCTAAATTAATAAACCCTATTCCAGCTGGCTTTTCTAACTTTCACAAGCTTCTCATTTTATGCTTAAAGCGGGGGTTATTGCCTGAGTCGTCAGGTATACTGCCTAAATTGCCTTATTTCATTTATACATGACTAAATCTATATTTAGTCATTATTCTATATCTTTTTAGAAAGCCTTTATGAATAGAAAGCAGAATATACAATTTTTGCGAAGAAATTTTGCACAGATATGTGCATAGACGCCTTTAAAGGGAATTTGCACGTCTCAAAAATGTATAATTTATCATAGTTTTTTGTTTCTGCACATTTTTTGCTAAAAAACTTGATTTTGCAACAATTATTGAAAACTTTGCAAATTTGCATATTGGTATAGTAGACCTAAGGGCCTTCCAAAATGCTATAGAAAGACCCCCCCCCCCCCAGACTATTTTGGCTAAAGTAGTGCTTAATCTGCAAATATTGCCAAGAACATTCTCTTCATTACAGTCTCCCCTAACTGAGGATTTCCGACCTGTTAAATTTACAATTGATGTTTTGAAAATAGATTAAAATTGTTTAAATTATGAGAGGAAAGCTATCACAACTTGAAATATTATTACAGAGGTCGAGCGAGATTGAACACTTTGAACAGTAAGGGAGCCTTAGAGGATGCAGAATGGGTTGGTTTTTTTATTGAAAATCATAGAAAAGTTTTTGTAGATTTTTAAAATTTTATTTAAATCGCCAGTACGTAATTCATATTCAATTTAATTCCACATTTTTTCTTCTAAAATCATATCTTTGCCTGTCTTATATTAATTGATTGTTAAGTTGTTATCATGTAGAAAATTATTTGTGTCCAATCAAAACTTTTTTTTCCGAATTTACCTTAAATTTTGATCAAATAACCCAATAAACCAATCTTAGAATTTAATTCTTTTTGTACTGTTTTCTCAAAATAAAAAAAAAAACACTATATAAAAATATATGTTCTGCAGGTCCTCGATGAAATGAAGGAAAATATAAACTCTGAGGCTCTACTTTTAAAAGCAGAAGCATTGTATCATCTAGGTCTAAATAAAAAAAAAACATTTATTCTCATGAAGCCTGCATTCAAATTATTGTTTTATAATTACAGAGTTACTGATTCCTAACATTTTCACATTTCACATTTCCATGGTTTCAACATATTTTTGTTTGATAAATATTATATAATTAATCTTTTTAAGGCATCTTTGAGTATGCATTGCTCTTCTTCAATCGGTATGTTACTAGATCTAAACATATAATTAAAAATTTAAAATTGGAAACATTTATTTCTTAGAGCTTTGCAGCGAACAAGACTTGAATCAAAAGCAATTAAGATGGGAATTGATAGGTTTGTTTTTGTTCTTTTCAGATTTTTTGTCTCAACTTGTCACTTTTTTTATAATTAATTGTAGAATTTGTATATGTTTCTTCATAATAAAGACAAGATACACTGATTGATTACAATTCATGATTTTTAAAATGTTTACTGTTTAGGACACAGGAAGTGATTTTGGAAACTTTAGGAATATCATATTTTATTAATTTGGTTGGTATGATTAAAGTTTGGCAATTTAATAAACTTTTCCTAATTTATCGAATGATAAATTCTTTGTAGAACAAACTCAGCTGGAGCGATTGAATGAGCGGTTGAGATCTAGCCTAGACTCTACGCAGTCTAGAGTAAGAAATGCAACTTTTTTTCTTCTTAAATTTAAGATTTGTTTAACCGCTAAATTCGTACTTTTTTCGTTTACATTTTTATCTACTTTTTAAGACTTTTTTATTAGTTCAACAAAGATTTTTTTAAAAATACTGCTGATTTTAATTAGTTTGTTAGCATTCAACTCCTCTTTTCTTTTTTTCAGCAACTTTTTCTTTTAACCGCTGGGTTTAAGATGTTCAACAAATTGTTGCTTTCGATCAATGGAAAAAAGTTTTTCTGAAAATGCTGCTGGGGTTTAAGATTTGAAATAATTTTTTTCAGCAACTTTTTTTCAATGGAAAAAAAATTTAAAATACTGCTGGGTTCCAGATTTTTCAGAAACTTTTTAGCTTTCAGTTTAAGATGTTCAGCAAATATTTGCTTTCAATCAATCAAAATTTTTTTTTTAACATAAGATTTTTTTAAGATTTGAAATATTTTTTTTCTTTCAACAGCTGGGTTTAAGATTTTTCAGCAACTTTTAAGCTTTCAACCGGTGGTTTTAAGTATTTTCAGCAACTTATTTTTTTTCAATCGCTGGGTTTAAGTTATTTCAGCACCTTTTTTTTTCTTCCAACTGCTGGGCTCAAGTTTTTTCAGCACTTTTTTCTTTCAACCACTGGTTTCAAGTTTTTTCATCAATTTTTTTTCTTTCAACCGCTAGGTTTAAGATTTTTGGCAACTTTTTAGCTTTCAACCGCTGGTTTTATTTTTTTAGCAACTTTTTCTTTCAACCGCTAGGTTTAAGATTTTTTGGCAACTTTTTAGCTTTCAACCGCTGGTTTTATTTTTCTTTCAATGTTCAACAAACTTTTGCTTTCAATCAATGAAAATAGTTTTTATTAAAATACTGCTGGGTTTATGATTTGAAATATTTTTTCTTTTAACTACTGGGTTTAAGATTTTTTTGCAACTTTTCAGCTAACAACTGCTGATTTTATGTTTTTTCAGCAACTTTTTTTTGCTTTCAGCAACTTTTTTTTGAACAGCTGGGTTTATGTTTTCTCAGCCACTTTTTTTCTTTCATCTGCTAGATTTAAGATTTTATGCCAACTTTTTGGCTGTCAACTTGTTATGGTTTTAGGTTTTTTCAGCAACTTTTTTTTTCAATCGCTGGTTTTAAGTTTTTTTCAGCAACTTTTTTCTTTCAACCACTGGGTTTAAGATGTTCAACAAATTTTTGCTTTCAATCAATGGGAAAAAGTTTTTCTTAAAATATTGCTGGGTTTAAGATTTTCAACAAATTTTTGCTTGCAATCAATGGAACAAAGTTTTTCTTAAAATACAGCTGGGTTTAAGATTTGAAATATTTTATTTGCTTTCAACCGCTGGTTTTAAGTTTAAGTTTAAAATCGCAGTTTGAAATTTTCAACAAATTTTTGCTTTTAACCACTGAAAAATAATTTTTCTTGGAAAACTTTTGGCTTTAAGCTGCTGGGTTTATGTTTTTTCATCAACATATTTTCTTTTAACCGCTGGGTTTAAGATTTCAACAAATGTTTGGTTTCAACCAAGGAAAATAAATTTTCTTGAAAACTTTTTTATTTTAAGTGGTGGGTTTTAGATTTTTTGCTTTCAACCACTGAAAAATTAAACTACTGGGTTGAACAAGCTTAATCTTTCTTCTATTTTTTTTCGATTACCTAGCTAGTTAATCACCCAGCAAAGCATAAAATAGGAAACTGTTCTCTGTTTTCCTTTTATTAAACGCCTCTTGAAAGTTTTTAATAAATGAAGATCAATGGATCTTAAACCCAGCACTTAAAAGAAAAATGTTTTTCAAGAAAAATTATTTTTCCTTGGTCAACCAAACATTTGTTGAAATCTTAAACCCAGCAGTTGAAAGAAATAAAGTTGCTGAAAAATCATAAACCTAGCAGTTGAAAGCAAAAAGTTTTAAGAAAAATTATTTTTCAGGTTTTGAAAGCAAAAATTTATTGAAAATTTCAAACTTAAAACTTAAACTTAAACTTAAAACCAGCGGTTGAAAGCAAATAAATTATTTCAACTCTTAAAAACAGCAGTATGTTAAAAAACTTTGTTCCATTGATTGCAAGCAAAAATTTGTTGAAGATCTTAAACCCAGCAGTTGAACGGAAAAAGTTGCCGAAAATTCTTGAACCTAGGGGTTGAAAGAAAAAAAGTTGCTGAAAAAACTTAAAACCAGCTCAAAAATTGTTGAAAAATCTTAAACACCAGTGGTTGAAAGAAAAAATATTTCAAATTTTAAACCCAGCAGTATTTTAAGAAAAACTTCGGACATTGATTGAAAGCAAAAATTTGTTCAACATCTTAAACCAAGCGGTTGAAAAAAAAAGTTGCTGCTTGAAAAACATAATAAAACCAGCGGTTGAAAGCAAAAAAATTGCCGAAAAATCTTAAACCCAGCAGTCGAAAAAAATAGTTGCTAAAAAAAGATAACCAGCGGTTGAAAGCTAAAAAGTTGCTGAAAAATCTTGAAAATATTTTCAAACCCAGCAGTATTTTAAGAAAAATTTTGTTCCATTGAATGAAAGCAAAAATTTGTTGAACATCTTAAACCCATTGGTTGAAAGAAATAAAGCTGCTGAAAAAAAAACCAGCGGTTTAAAGCTAAAAAGTTGCCAAAAAATCTTAAACCAAGAGGTTGAAAGAAAAAAAAATTTGCTGAAAAACTTAAGCCCAGTAGTTGAAAGAAAAAAAGTTGATGAAAAAACTTAAACCAGAAGTTGAAAGCAAACAAATTATTTCAAACTTTAAATCCAGCAGTATTTTAAGAAAAACTTTGTTCCATTGATTGAAAGCAAAAAAGTTGATAAAAACCTGAAACTCAGCGGTTGTTAGCAAAAATCTTTATTATCTCAGAGGTTTAACTAATAAAAAAGTTTCAAAAAGTAAATAAAAATGAAGACGGAAAAGTACGAATTTAGCGGTTGAACAAATCTTAAATTTGAGAAAAAAAATTGTATTTCTTATTCTAGATTGCGTCTAGACTAGATCTCAAACGCTCATTCAACCGTTCTCGCAGATTTTTTTTCTACAAAGTATATATCATTCTAATTGATCCCAAATTTGAAATACCCTTATGTCTAACTAACTAACACTGTTAACTCAACTTATATATGACAATTCAAAGTTTGTGACACTTCAGCAAACTTACTCAAAGAAAGTGACCGGCAATGTATGGTAGTTGAACTGAGAGTATAGTATTGTGGAGATTTTTTTAGGATTCATTTGATGAATGATGATGTATAATTACTGAGTTTGAGCGCAAAGTCGATGTTCAAAATCATCCATTTGAAGGGTTACAGTTTGAGAATTATTATTTTTAAATCATTAAATAACGACAAAAAAAATGTTTCAAAAATTCTACAGTAAACTAATTAGATGTTTAGGAACATATTTATCAACAGAAATGTGTTAATAAATCAATGTTTGAATCAATTATTTCTTCTTCATCATTATATTGAATTTCTTATTCTTTACAAATTTGTTCACAGATTTCTACAAGTTCTTCAAATGTCGACTTATCAATAAAAATTCCAGAAAATCTACAGAAAATTTTTGTGAACAATGAGAGATTACTGAAACTAATAACTGAATAAGATTACTTATTTTAGATGATAGGATTTAATATATTTGCTTAACCTGTTTCTGAAGAACTAATTAGTTTGCTGTAGAATTTGTGTTACATTTTTTGTTGTTATTTAATAAATTTTAAAAAAATCTATTCTCACCTAGTCAGACTGAGTTGGCCTTCAAGCGGGACCTAGGCGCCTGTTGCCTTGAAAAATCCTTCGAATTTGCAAAAAATTATCATATTTCAGTAACATAAGAAAATAACATTAAGATATTTATGAATTCAGCATGACTTCCGGCCCCCCGTTCCTTCTGCAGCCTGTTTCCCCCAACAACTTTTGCAAGGCTTCTTGAATACTATCCTCAGTTTTACAATTAAGATAATATTTTATAACCCATTTCTCAACCATCCCTTTCTTAGGCGAAAAATTTTACCAACCCCCACATACATATGTCTCCAAGAAGTCTGCAAGCTGTCATTTATAGCCATAGAGAATAGAATATATAGAGAGGAATTAAAAGAATCTCTTGGTATGAATTTTTTCAGTCCCTTTCAGTCTGAAAGGGAGTTCAAAGTGTACAAATCATGTAAATGTTCACAAATTATGTGCAGTAGAATACATTAATACAGTATGTTCCCTAGCTATTATTCATTTCAATTTCGAATTTTTTAAACTGTTAAATAAACTTTATAATGAATTAGATTAATAAAAACATCATTTGAATTATATAGTTATAACGAAAAATCATCGTTTGTAAAGTGAAAGGCATAAAGTCTATGTGAAATGATCATTGGTCAATTATGAAACCAGCCTATTTCATAATTTGGCTTTCTTTTCACAATAATTTTAGATTTTCTATAAAATGATATTCCCGGGCCCAACAGGTTATATAGCATAAATATGTGAAGTACACCTGCAGTATGGAAACAGTACAACAAAATGGCCGTTTTACAATTTCTTCTAGTAAATTCCTCTCTATATATTCTATTCTCTATGTATATAGCTGTCTTTATTAGAGGACTTATTAAATCCTCCTGCGCCTTCATTTTTCATTGATTCATTCATTGATAATAATAATAATAATAATAATAATAATAATAATAATATTAATAATTAAAATAATAATTTTAAGCAGCTATAAAAACAGCTACCGGCATCAGATTACACTTATAGAAAGTTAGACGGATAGAGAGCAACATATGGACCTGTGGCTAGATGCATACCCATTAAAAATATGAAACGGCAAATATTGAGGAACGCCTTCACCCAGGCCTTACTGGTCTATTCAAGGCCTCCTCTGTCTCTGTTATACCCTGCCTTCAGGGCTCCAAAACCCTATGCCTTAAAGCCAAATCAAGGCGTCCTACCGATGCCTTCGGTAGGACAGGCAAAACGTAACCACCCAAATGGATGACTATGAAAGTCGACTTTGCGCCCAAACTCAGTAATTATACATCATTAAAACGTTTTATTTGTTTCAAATAAATTCTAAAAAAATTCTCCACAATACTACATTCTCAGTTCAATTACCATACATTGCCGGTCACTTCCTTTAACTCATCTAAACATAACATTACACTTCATATACAAGGAAAATAATAAGTTGTTAATCTTTGTCAAAGGTGAAAAAACATAATCATGAAAATATATGCGTATAGGGTGGTCTCCAAAAAATACAAATGTTTTGTTCAGGTACATTGTTTAAAACAAAACAAATATATATATATTTATAATATCTTTACTTTGTAATTATAGAAACGTTGGAATGCTTATCTCAGTAGATGCACAGGTGAAGAAGTCCAAGAATCTTTTTGTAAAAAACGCTACTTGAGAATAAAGTAACTGATATCTTTTGATGTCTTAAAATCAAGATATGTTCCTATAATTGTTGATATAGGGTCAAGTTCTTGAATTTAATATCTTGCACGGTATGTGTAATGTTAAGTTTTTTGTTTTAAAATGCAGCATTTTATATTTTGATTTGCATGGTGTAGTTTTTTTTGTACTGAGCTGGGTTTTGACTGTAAGATTTAAACTCTTTAAAAAAGAAAACTTTGCAGATTTCACTATACTTAATTGTGAATTTTATGTATAAATATATAGAGATCATTAGGAATAGGGTTAAATTTTATAATATTGTTAGATTTTATTTTGCGCAGCTGGCATCTTATTCGAAATTTTTGACCCAATATCTAGATTATTATCATTGATAATTAATTTATTTGTAGGCTGAAAGAAAGCTTCCGCACAGTTTACTAAAGGAAAATGCCGAAGACCTTAGATTTTTGGAAAAGCTCAATAGCCAGCATGAAAAACTCAGGTAAACGTTATCTTTGGCTTTCAAATAATGTGAAATAGCAATACAATCTAAAATAAAATTAAAGTATTTACTGCTATATTTAGGATAATTTCACTAAACTATCAAAAATGAGTCAGTAATGAATGGGTCCTGCATTCGACAAAAAAAAGGCTTACATAAATGTCACAAGCATACCTACATACATACAATTAGTAGTAAAGAAAATTGGCAAAATTGTAAATAGAAAATTCGCAATTTTCAGTTCCATGGGCTAATTTTTAAGGAAAAGTTATTTAAATTATATAGTTCCTTTCTTCTTAGTATATTATAAAGTATTAAATATACTCTGTTCAGTCGAAACCTTAAGAACCATTGAAAAACAATTTTGCCGTAAAAATTATACCAGAACTGAAAATTGCGAATTTTCTAATTACAATTTTGCAAATTTTCTGTGATTCTGTGATTCAATCTTTATAAAATTTTAGATTTCGATAGAAACAATTTATTTACACATTTTTGTTTTTCTGAACTTTTGATTTTGAGAGTATAAAAGGTTCGCGGATTTTTTTTTCGGGCCATTGAAGTACCAAAAAAAATTACAAATTTTCAAAAAATATTGAAAAAACACCATACTGGAGAGTTGCACAAAAAAGGTACAATTTTGCACCAGGCGCCGCAAATCACACTTTTTTTGACTCACCCAGTATTGTTTTTTTTTAGTCCTAATATGTGTTCCACTGTTAGTGAAGTATTGGATTATCTAAACAACCGTAAAACTTTCTGGGATCAGCATGGGCCAAAAGAAAAAAGGAAGAAAGAAGAAGTCCAAATTTACCAAGTTGCTTGTTCTGACAATTCTAAATTTTAAATCATGTTACCAATATCAATTCACTTAATGCACTTAAACTTAATTTGATTAATTACAATATCATTTCTTTGTATCGAATTATAAAATTTTATTTGCCCTTTAATTTAATTCATTTTTTTCAAACTCTGTATATTTCTAAAATTAAATGGCTGAAAAAATATATTATTTATTAATTATCTATATAATAGTTCTCTTCGCTCATGAATATATTTGTATATTTATATGGTAAATATAGCGGGCCAAACGGCCGGACCGAATGGGCTGACATTTTTTTTAGGGAACCCGGGGAGTAACATAGCTGCTAAAATAGTTTCGACATTTTTTTTAAAATCTAAATTTTTTTTAAATCAAAATATTTTTTTCCAACTTCAAAATAAATTTATATGGGCAACGCTGGGCAATCCAGCTAGTTTAACATATCTAATCTAATTTTATCTAAATTATGCTATCATGCATGACTTCGTACTCATAATATTAACCTATTCTTTGCTGGAGGAACAACAAGGCAAGAAATAAAGTCATACTGAGCCGTTGCTGAGGGGAGGCACACGGGTGCGTTCGCCCCCACCCCTGTGTTCCTACTCTCCTCCCCTGTACACAATTCATTGTCAAATTTGAGTTTTAATTTGAGCTAACCAATTATCTGTAGATAAACTGCACTTGAAACTTTTGGGTAAAAAAACAAGAATATTTCCATAATATTTTATCAAACAATGAAGATTAAAGGGAACTGTAATTAGTTGATAATACTAATGTAAATAAAAGAATCACTTAAGAATCAGTTATTGTAGAGAAATTTATTGACAAACGTGGATTTTACTTATATTTTACAAGAGAGCTTTTTTATTACTAATGTAGAAGTTATGGTCAAACATAGATAGCTTCTGTATCACCAAGAATTGTACAGTCCGCGAACTCATACTTCTAGGGGTCAAAGAGTACTTTAATGATAAGCGGGGTGGTTTGGTGTTTTAATGGATTTCATAATATAGTGTAAAATAACTCCGGGAATGAAACTATTTGAACAACATTATTTCACTGAGAAATATTTCATATTGACGAGAACTGAAGAAGGACATGAGAAGGACTAAACTAACTTAAATTTCTCTCTACAGAACTCATGTACACCACAAGTACTCAATGACATAAGAACAGCCAATGTTCACAACCGACCTAGGTAATCTATATAATAGGAATATCTTTAAAACATCTCTGTACATTTATATCTTTCAAGATGAAAAATGTCGTCTTATGCGCAATCTATCTTTATCTATGGATTTCACTGGTTACGATTTACACTTGGTTCTATTTAATGAGGCTTTGGAACAAATGTAGCCCAGATCTTTGCGTTTTTAAATCTTGCTTTACAACTTTAACTACAATGTAAAGTTTAAAAAAATTAGAAATCCTAATAATATTTTTTTTTACGGGGTGAGTAAAAAGCAGGATTATCAATGTTCTGGATACCATTTTCCAAATTTATGTATTTTTCGGATTTTGGCGTACAAAAATAAAATGTGAAAAAAATTCCAAAATATTTTTGGAACATTTAAAAAAAATCCTAGAGGACAATGTTTTTGAAAATGTAATTTTAAAAAAGTGATTAGAAAATTGTTTATTTTATTGTGTTCCAAAATTTCATAAAAGTTCATAAAAATTGATTGAGATATAGCAAAAAATGCATAATTATTAAGAGTGGAAATCTGCAGTAAATGTTATCAAATTATAACAAACTATGACAAATCATTATGGCTTGCATTTTTTTCTTTTTAATTCAATTTTTGACAAATTTTTTATGAAAATCAATAAAGTAAACATTTTCAAAACAACTTTTTAAAAAAATTATTTTTCGAAAAAAATTTTGCTTTGTGGATTCTTTTTTTCGTTTTTGATTTAATTCATCACATTTTATTGTTTAATGCCTTAAATCTGAACAAAACAAAATTTTGTCCAAAACATCGATAACCGCGGTATTTTTTATTCATCCTGTATAACTATATATATATATGTAACAAAAAACAAACGAAAATAATTAGCAATAAGTTTCAAAGGTAGAGAATCCAGTTTATTTAATTCGATAAAGGTTTTGAGTAGAAAACTATTTTTGAGACATTCTTTGAATATAAATTAGTCAATTTAAAGAATTTATTTCATTAAATTACATAATAGAACATGGTAGACTGCGATATTTTTCCTAAACAAATATAAGAAAATAATTACTTATTTTAAAAATGAAAAAAATATGAAAGAAAAACCTGTATGATGTTGGAAATTATGTCAGGTGCAGACGGATCACACAGTTTGTTTACTTCGTGTGAAAATCCCTAGAAATACCAAAATATTTACATACTTAATTTGTTAATAAAATAAATTTTAACATTTTTCGATTCTTTTTTCAAAAGACGAATGTTTACATTGTGTACCACAAACACCTTTTGATCTTAAGTGTTCTGATCTGAATAAATTCCAATCTAGAAGAATTATAATTGGATTTTAACAAAGTTTTAGCGGTCTAATTTTTTTTAAAATATAGAATTTTTTAATCGAGATTTTCTTTTTTATGAAAAGTCATTAAAGTAATATTTTTGGAAAATCGCAGACACAATGTAAAAAATTCCCCTTTAAATGCTTTTTACTTCTATAGTCGGAGCCCTTTTCCTCCATCCTAGTGCCTCATTACACTGCAGTTCATATTCCATCTAAGACAATATTTTTAATAATGTGTTAATTAATTCTATTAATTCTGATAATTTAATTTGACAACAGAATTTTTCATTTATAATCTAGACATGAACCCAGAAGTTCTTATATTCATAATAAAGTTTTTTATTTGTCCGAGGAAACCTCCAAGATTTTCTCTTTTTGATTATCGTTTTAGGAAATAATTTATGAAATGTCGTCTTGACAAATTTGTAATGGGTTTTTACTATTTTATAAGTACAGGGTGTCCCACATCAAATTAGACCGAATCAATAGGTCTAAATTACGATTTGGGAGACAAATCAAAAAAGAAGAATTAATCATTTTGAAAAATTTGATAAGGCTAATTGAATTTTTTTTTGGCAGTAAATGCTAGATTTTTCGAGTATTATGTGCGTATTTTGGCGTTAAAGATTGTAGATAATCTAATATGATATGGGACGCTCTGTAAATCTGAGTAATTGAAGAAAAAAACAGCCATGCATGTAAAAAACTAAATATTTGTGAGAAATTTAAGAATACGACATTTTAAAATTATTTCCATGTCCCTTTATATTTTATCTTGAATGCTTGTAAACAAACTTTCTATGTAACAAAAACTTAAAACTTAGAGAGTTGTAGCCTAATTTGGCTCTTAACAATTTTCATCAATAAATCTCCTAATTAATGAAATAATGACCATTTTGAGAAAGTGTTCTATTTCTACTTACGATACAATCTGGACAGCAGCAAATCTCTTCTTTGTCCGGGGAAGCAAGTAAATAGTTTGATTCATCCTAGACAATAGTTTGATTCATCCTAGACAATAGTTTGATTCATCCTAGACAATAGTTTGATTCATCCTAGACAATTTTAAGGAAAATTAGATTCAAGTAATAAATTATAAACGATAATCAGACCTTTTTAAGCAAACAAAATACATAATGAATATAATTGATAATAATTCTATGCATTTTAATAGGTTTTTTGAAGCATTTTAAACGTCTAAAAGTATCAAAGAAGTACTTATCAACTTTAAAACATTAAAAAAAAACTTATGACAAAGACACAAAGACAATTATTAAGAACAAACATTTTTTTATATTTTAAGTTTAAGTTTAAAGTTAGCCTCTAAATTTCGTCAAAAGCCCCTTTTAGAGATTTGTTCTTTTTAAACCGATCCTAACATGTTTAGGCTCACCTGAAGTTTTTTAATATACATTTTCCACGCCTCTTCTCTTTAATAAAGATTGTTTATTAGAAATTAGTAAAATTAAACAATTACATATTATAACAACCGGAAATATACAGTGAAACCCTTAATAATGAATACATCGAAAGAATTCAACAAATGTCGTATTCTTCACTTTCTGATAATGGAATGTTGCAGATATTTAGTTTTCTTAATTAAATGATTATATGAAACTCTTTAAAACTGTTCCTGCTTATTTATGGTTATTTATTTATTCTCGCAAATACTGAAATTTACGTAATTTAGAATAAAACTCATTAAAAAATTGTCAAGACGACATTTGATAAATTCTTCCGATGTATTCGTTATTAAGGGTTTCACTGTATGAAAATGTTATAGTGCTGAAACTAAATTTGTATTTACATGAATTGGATTTAGGCCCTCTTCTAGAAACAATTTGACCGTTTAAATGTTGTTTTTTAATCGGCCACTTTTCTTCCTCCTTGTAAAACTTAAAATTTTGCGGAATTTCTGTAAAAGAGTCAACAAATTATTTGGCCGGTTTCGTTTCTTTAACTTTAAATTTGCAATAAAAAAAATTGAAGATTAAAAAGCTACACAAAATAAACAATTGATATTATAATATTTAGATATTCCTGCTTATCATTTCAGGCCCCTGTCCTCCTCCCCATATTATGGAAAACATTCCCAACGTCTGAAAAAGGTCAAATATAAACTTGATAAGGGCCTGCAAAATTTAAAGATACTGCTAATTCTAACCTGCTGAAAGGATACTGCTAATGCTAACCTGCTGAAAGGATACTGCTAATGCTAACAGATCAGAACATTTCGAAAGTAAACTTCTATATTTTACTTAGTTTCCTCGGCATAAATTTGAGACCATCCATTAAGGGTAGAAGATTCGTCAATGGAACTGGTTCTAAATCTGTTTCTTATTTCAGACGAATCATCTTGCAAAGCCTTAAACATTTGTAAGTGAATCATTTTTTTGTAGTAGATTTAAATCTGATTTTCAAATATACCTCCTCTAGTTTAGTCTCATCAATAATATCGAGCTGAATATTTTCTTGAATTTCTTCCAATAATTCTCTGCAGTCTTCGTTAGCGTTCATATTTATGAAGACCTGAAACAGAAATATAGAAATTAAGTTTTTCATAATGAACATGTTTTTAAAAAAATTAGATTTATAAGGCTAAAAATTTGATGAAAATCTAAACCCTCTAAGATCTTTTAAGTGTCTATTGAAAGCCAAAAAGAATAAAAAACAAAGACGAACAATATTTCAATGATAAGATCGATAGCAATATGTTTCTTCCTAAAAAATAGTTCTGTAACGTATTTTTGATGTAGACAATCCGCTTCATTATCTGCCATATTAAACCGAGTTTTTCTTCTGCTTTGTCAATAACTCACATTTAGTTTTATTGCATTTTATCAGTATATTATTCTTTCCCAATTTCGAATATAAAAACATTTCGGATTTACAGATTCGAAGTTTAAATACTTGTATTTCTTCTCTAGTCATTTTATCTGAATTAGAATCAATTGCATCTGCAAATTCAATTTAAAGACTTTGTGTTTTTTATGATTATTATTTAACCTATTTTGTTTTAATTCAATAAGAGCACGCATAGTTTCTTAGGTTGTGATATGAGCAAGGAGGCTGGATTGCCACTGGGGTCAGAAATGGAGGTTGTACATACACCGAATACACCCGGCCTCAACCACTCACACATTGTAATTATAAAAAGTTGTGTTAAAAATCTCTGTTTTAATTTTATCTCACATACAAATCTATTTTGGACGATTTTGTATCTAACAATCAATAGTATCAATAGTATCAGGATACGTTCAATGCTTCGCGCAAATATGAGGTATGCAAACATTTTACTTCGTTTCAAGTTCATTTAAATTATTTCTGACTAATAGAATATTTTTTAATTACGCTTTAGATTTTCTTCTGCATAACTTTACCGTATACAATATTGTGAATTATTTTACAGTACGTGTCCAACATTTTTTAATATGTTGTAAGGAATATTCACACTGTTTTGATATTAGGTTACTATAATGCTGTCAGTGTCCAATTGATTTTTCATTGAAATAAATCATAATTTGTAGTTTCTGAAATTTGTTTTAACTTTAAAGGGAAAATAACCAATATACAAACACACATTGCATGTATTCAGTGTACACGCTTTTTTTGAGCAATAAAATTATTAATAAAAGTATTATTTTCTGAAAATCCAAGTTTTAGGGCATTTTCACGATTACTTCTCTTTTTCTTTACGAAATCTTTCATATAATAAAAAATCTTCGTTCAAATAAATTTCATGATCCTGATCAAAGTACCTGGTCAAACGGAATATTCTGAAGAAAAAAATAATCGATATTCATTTCTAAGTGTAGGCCAATATTCATATCAGATTTGTATAGGTTTTACATAAATCAGTACAGATATCAGTATAGAGCTTTAAAGTACATCTTAAATTAGGACTACAGTACTCAGAAGTACATCTTAAATTAAGACTACAGTACTCAGAAGTACATCTTTAACGAACCGACGAATTTTAAAACCTACTACTTCGGGTTTTTTTTTAATTTAGAAAAACAATTCTTTTTAGAAACGATTGTTTGATTTTCAATTATTTCTTTGTTAACGAAACGGTGAGTTTGCCTTTAAGAAAAGTATAATCCGCCTCTTTAACTGCCCTAACTACCTCATACACTCGTTCCACAATACAACAATAAATACACATAATTTGATTATATTTATTATTTGTATAGAGAAACTGGATATTCAATATTTCACCAGTTTACAATATTCTATTTGAACTTTTGAATGAAGAACTCAGACACTGTATGCATCACATGCTGAACAAAGTTAAACAAACAATAACAAATGAATTTTATCTGCCTTAGGTAATAAACGCTTTTAGAATTGAAATCAAAATATGATAAAAGTAAAAATTGTTTAAATTTTATATGATGAAAAACTGATAAAAATTGATACAAATTTTGAATACTCACTTATGATGAGTGCAAATACACGTTTCTGTTTATAAAAATTGTTTTTTTTAGTAATTAGTAGAAGCTTAAGAGAAATTAAAATTTTAAATGACAAAATGGCCTAAATCGAATTCTACAGTTTAAATCAAAACGGGGTTTTTATTGTTTTTGGAAAAAAAGACAATTATCTTTTTATGAAGATAAATGAGTTGAGTCTTTGACACAAAGTTTGATTTTAAAATCCCTAAATCTTTGCAACCCAGTGTCGTAGACCTTAAATATTTCAAACTATTAGTTCTGTTATATCAAATAGTAAACGTTTGAAATATCAAATGCTAACAAAATCAGGTTGCAAAGATATAGGGATTAGAAAATTAGAGTTTGTGGATTTGTCCAGTTAGCATAATAGATATCCAAAGTTGCTTCATAACATGAATATTTAATACACATAAGTCTTCCTAGTCCACAGTTTTATGGGACCCACTGTAGGATTTCTTACACTTTTTGCTTTACGTTTTACCAAATCTATAAAACCAAAGTTTGTTTTTATTTTGCCTCTAGATAAACTCCAATTCCATGATCCTGATCAGGATATGATACCTGGTCGAACAGAATATTCTGAAATACAAATGTTTTTCGATATTTAATCTTAAAATAAAAAAAAAAGATTTAGGCCAATTTTTATATCAAAGGAATTGAGTTTTTGTGTCACAAACTTTTATTTTCTAATCCCTATATTTTTTAAACTTAATGGTATAAACCTTTGATATTTCAAACTTAGATTATTTGATCTAACAGAATTCATAGTGTGAAATATCTCAGGTCTACTATATTGGATTGCAAAGATATTGGGATTATTAAATCAGAGTTTGTGGCTGAGACTCAACTCCTTTGTTCGGGCTTTACATAAATCAGTATGGATAAAGCCAGTTCCCCTGTTCAATTTTTTTTACTTTTTTAACATGCCCTTCACTTTAAGCTCAACACGGGGCTTTTATACCTTCTGCCTGAGTCTTATGGGATACTGACTAAATACCTTTACCAGACTTAATCTATATTTAGACGTACTTCCAGTCAATAGTTTTAGACATTTTATAACTCATTAGAAAGCCTTTAACAAAAAGAAGAAATTTTTCATATATTTTTACACAGATACCTTTAAAGGGAATTTGCACATTTTCGGTTTTTGAAAATTATTTTTGCATATTTGAATTCGTCGTGCCAAGGCTTTTCAAAAATGTATAATTTATCATACTTCGCGCACTTTTTGTTTTTTCACATTTTTTGCTCAAAAACTTTTTCTTCAAATTATTAAAGTAGAGCCTAAGGACTTTCCTGAAGTGTATCAAATGTTAAAGATTTGTATCACAAAAAGGAAATAAAGGGGGGGGGGGCCCCCGGTCCCCCCCCCCCCCGACTTATTTTTAAGGCTTTGATCTTATTTTGTCGTACCTGTTTTTCTAGTTCTTGAACAATAAACATTGATTGCTGAAAATGCACATTATCATCCTCAGTGCCGTGGAGAACCAAATATGACTTGTTTCTAAAAACCAAAGGTTTCAATAACAATTAGTGCTTCTCCATTTGTATTTGTTTCACAATTTCTTTTTTCTACTTATAAGATATATGTAAACATCTATCTCAAGGAAACCAAGTTTTACGTGAAAACAGGCTAAAATTGGATACGCAACAGGCCACAGATGTTAAAAATGTTTTAAAGGAATTGAGTCTTTGTCACAAACTCTGAAATTCTAATTTCTATACCTCTGCAACCCAATGTCGTAGACCTTAGATATTTCAAACTATGAATTCTGTTGCATCAAATTATCTTAGTTTGAAATATCAAAAGTCTACAACATCAGGTTCCATAGATATAGGGATTTGAAAATTTGAGTTTGTGGCAAAAACTCAATTCCTTTTGTACATTTTCGGATAAATCTTAAGATTTAGATCAGTGATATGATGCCATTTTCGAATTTTGAATTGACCAATATTTGCAAGCAATTAAAAAAGATGTGGCTTTGAAATAACCATAAAGAACTCAACTCAAGGGACATGTTTTAGATGTTCATAGGCGGTTTTAGGGGGGTGGGTAGCAGTCCCCCTGGATTTTTACAAAGTCTTTACTCCAAAGACTTTTGACCTGTAACAGGTTATCTATGACCACCGACAGGTTTGTCAAGCTGGAAAGAATGGTGATACACCCAAAGTGGATTGTCTCAATTTCGGACAACAGTGTTTTAAATGCCCTTATTTCAAGCAGCTCAAGAAATCTAAATTATCGCAGATAGGAAGGATGTTTTTTTTTAACAAAAATGCCTTTTTTTACTTTTAGCCTTTTGATGGCATACTTCTATTTTTGACTCTAAAAATAAACATAAAATTTAGCATGATTTAAGAAACATGATTTACTAAAAGATCAATAATAATAGCAGAAATTATTCATTAGAATAATAATAATAATAATGTCATTGTATAAAGTTCAATCCATAATATTTTTTTATATCGTTATGATAAATAAATGGATTATTAAGACATTTGGTTACCCTGTACTTAAAGGTAAAAGAAACTATTAGTAGGATAAAGAACTGTTTAGCCAATTTGTTTTAATGGAATATAAGGGAGATACAAACGACGCGGCCCGCCCTACCATATGATTATACATGCTTTGCAGAAGGGTACTCCATTTGTAAAATAGTTTTTAAGGTCCTCTTTTAATTTTTTAATAGTGTTTTTTTACTTTACCATATTAAATAAAACCAATTTTTTATGTTACAAAAACTACGCTTATTGCTGATATTTTTGCATCCCAATAACATGTATTTGTTTTCATTATTCAGCCTATTTTTTCTCTGTATAAGTTATACAATAACCTATTCTAAATACATGAAGTACCGTCTGCAAAGGATGTATAATCATATGGAAGGGCGGGCCGCGTCTGTCTCCCTTATATTCCATGCTCTTTGGTTTGCGTTTTCTATTTTCTTTGATTCACATAAAATCATGTACATTTTAAAACTATAAAGTACTTTTTTAGCTACATTCTTTAAGAAGTAATTTGAAAAATTCTCTTAGATTTTTGCGTAAGAACTCACAAGCATTAAAGCACGCTGGATTAGCTGTTCTAAAACGTGACAAACGAATCTGACCAACTTAAAGTTTATCAGATTCAGATGTACTGAAAATGCACAAAATAATAATAATGCATCTTTTGAATTATACACTAAAGCTATTTTGTTGGTGCGTACCATAAGTAAAATTTCAAAGAATCAAATATGTAATTAAACAATGAAAAATACGCAATTCCATATATCTACAGACATCTTTACAGACGTTATTTTTAAAAGCAAAGTAAACTTTTTTTTACATTGTATTAAAATTATCTTAAGTTAACAGTTTTAGAAGATTATAAGTTTCACCTGAGGTTTTCAAGTTTCCAAAGCGGAGTGCTTTTATTGTACCCCTCATAGTTATCCTGTGGAGTCGACATATATCTGATAAAAACTGAATCTTTAAAAACTTTTGTACTTAAAGGTATTTACCTTTCTGTGTAGATTGAATCATAAAGTTCCCACATCGACACAGGAGCAACACTAACACCACAGGAAAATACACCATTGGAGTCCCTTTAAAAGTAATTGGTTTGGTGAATAAAACTCAGATCATCAAAATTTGAAAAATGTAAATGGTGCCACTGGCAAATGGCAATCAAAGGCCGTTCCTTTACGATTTTATTTACCCCCGCTCCCTGTCTGAATTCTTTTGTTTAGTATTGTCTCATATGTCCCTTTCTCTCATGTCCCTTTCTCTCCGTACAAATTAACGTAGCTATGATTTTTTTAAAGGTTTAAGAAAGGTAAAATCAGTTTTAGTATTAACTTGTTATTCCACAACGTATTACTTATTTTCCTAGCAAGAACCGACAGGCTAAAATATCCTCCAAAACTCCATCCATAAACTCCAGTTCTTTTAGAATCTATAATCTTATACTGGGTCTGTAACCGTTTTACAATACTAATGATTTCATCCACTTCTTTGGTTCCCAGATTTCTATAGTTTGACATCATGAAAGTGGCACCAGCATTTCCTGATCCTCTAAATTAAATATTTATTTCCTAGCAAACAATACGTGTTATTTTGAGCAAGAAGTGTATATGATTGAATTCTGAAAATTCAAAATTAAGATTATATTATCGAGAAAAAAACTACTGGTGCTTTAAGATTCTAAGTTATCGTAAAAATTTAAATTTGAAATGTCAAAACTTGAAAAAAAAATCCAGATGTAGCTCTTAGTAAGCTTTAAAGAAGTCTGAGGCCGAATTTAAGGAATGTGAGCCGCGGCTTACATTTCAGCCTCGGCTCAAATATGGTTGGTTCCACTTAAAATTGTATTCAATTTTTCAAGATTTAAGCCGGCGCGGCGCTCAATTGATACCGGTTTTTGGGGGATTTGAGACGTGGCTTAAATTCATTAAATTTGGACACTGAATGCTTAAAAACTTCTTAAACTAGCCATTGCCAATTTGGTATAGATATTTTTATTTGCCTGTTTAACAAGAAAAAAAGCCGCAAAGATTGGTACTAATTCAGTTACACCATTTTTGGTAATGTTTTTGGTGATTGATAAAAATTTCATAATCGATCAGATTCGGCCTTTAATTTGATGTTTTCTATTCCAAGCTTCTTGTTCTAGCAAGGTAAACTGTTATTTAATACCTATAATCTAACCCCTGTCTAATCGGAATTTTAGTCATTCCTTGTTAAATAATTTAGAATTCATAATGCAGTACTTTCTGTAAATCCTACATGATGATATGATTAAAATATTTCAAGCAAAGTTAAATTAATCAATTTCGTTTTAAAAATTTTGTGGTTCCATTTAAACTTTACTCTACCTGGCATCAATTTTAATTCCAATAAAACCCTTAGTTTCAACCAGGTATGACAAAAGAACAGTATCATCATACCAATGATATAAAACTTCTTGTGATCCTGGTCCTTTAAATTATTTTTTAAACATGTTTTTGATGACTCTGTTATATTCAATAAATAATTTAAAGGCTATGCATAAAAAAATCAATTAAAAAGAAAAAATATTTTCACTAAACTTAATTTACCTCCATAAACATAAAGAATCGTTGGTAGTTCAACATCCGATTTTAATGTTACTCCTTTAGATGATTATTATTAAAAGATTGTTGTATACGATTGTTTTAAAAGATATTTGTTTTACCGGAAGGTAACATTAGCTCCACATTTGTTTTTCCATAATGAAGGTGAATTCTGTGGGATAAGGGAGGAGAATGTAATTTCCTAAAATCATTATTTCTTTATTTCATGATTTTACCCAGCTTCCGGAAGAGAAAGCTTCCGGAAGAGAGAGAGAGAGAGAGAGAGAATCAATTTTTTTAAACACGTTCATTGTAAAATACTAAATTGCAATACATAAGGGTTGTCTATAAAAAGTTATTTAGGCAGTGTATCAATATATCAATGTAAATTTAATCTGTGAAGACAGGCGTTTCAGCTCTTTCAGCTCTACTTTATATAACCCCGTCAAAATTAATTCTTTTTGCTTTGAATTTTTTAAAACTTTTTTCCAGGTATATTATACCTCAGAAACGAAATTGTACTTACTGAAGTTTGGTGTTGTTCTTTAGTGTTGCTTTTATCTCCATTGTGTTGATATCCAGAAGTTTACTATATGGAATATGTGGTCCGAGGCAGTTTAGTATTGCATACTGACCTTCTGTACTATAAATGCAGTATATACATACATGTTTGCATAGTAGATATCTACATTTTTCCAGCAAAGTTAGCCTAAATAACAGTTTTGTTTAGGTTTGTCCAGGGTTTTCGTTCTATTAAAGTTTCCTAATCGGGGGAAGGGGTGGAGGGCCGCCATGAACTCCGCAAACTGGTCTCCAAGCACACGATTCCGAAGGAGGAGATCAACTTTTACTTTACCTTTGTGACCCGCAGCTCATCTAGATTTCATTGTGAGGAAAGCAAGTTCATTTGATTACTTACAAGTTTTGTTCTTTTTTATAGCTCGTCAATTAGAGGACTTATTGTGAAGAAATATTTTAGGATTTTTGACATATAAAACATTTGTATAATTACTGAGTTTAAGGGCAAAGTCGACGATCAAAATCATCCATTTGGGTGGTTACGTTTTTAGAATCGATTTTTAAGATTATTAAATAACGATGACAAAAAATGTAAAAATAATTTTGACAGTAAACTAATTAGATGTTTAGGAACATATTTCCTCAATATAAATTTGTCAATAAATCAATGTTAGAATCAATTATTTCTTTTTCATCATTATAATGAATTTCTTATCCATTACAAATTTGTTTGTAAATTTCTTCAAATTCTTCAAATGTCAAAATTCTGGGATATCTACAGAAAGCGTTTTGTGAACAATGAGACATTAAAGAAACAAATAACTGAATAAGATTACTTATTTTCGATAATAAGAGTCAATTTTTATTTTCTCAACCTGTTCCATAAACAACTCATTGGTTTACTGCAGAATTTTTCCTACATTTTTTGTCATCGTTATTTAATAATTTTTAAAAATCGATTCTCAAGATTTAACTATCCAAATGGATGATTTTAAACGTCGACTTTGTGCTCATACTTCTTAATTATACATCATTAAAACGTTTTATATATCTCAAATGAATCCTAAAAGATTTCTCCACAATACTACATTCTCAGCTTAACTACTTTACATTGCCTGTCACTCCCTTTACCGTAAAATTTACTTAAATTAACATAAGCTTCTTTGGTTCTCATAAATGTAAATGTAAATGTTTGTCGTTATAATTTTTTTTTTCTGACTTAATTAATTTTATTGTTAAAATGATATCATACTATGTAATAATAAATGATAAAATGAAAATATTTAATAATAAACTGTTGTTCCTAATCGCTTTCTTCGCTCTAAGTTTCTAATATTATTGATTAAAATGGCTTTAAAACGTTAAAGATCTCCTTTTTTGAAAATGTTGCCATTAAAGCAAAAACTTGTCAAATCATATTTCACAAAAAAATGAAATATTATAACCCGAACTAAAAATTCATAAAATATTTTCTTAAAGAATGCAAGTACAGTTTAATGAATTTACTTATTTTGGCCTTAACAAATTGTTATCTAAGCATAATGTCACCAGTTAAATGACAAAGCAAAATGAAAAAAAAGAAGATAAATATGTAAGCCTGCATTCCTAATTGAAGGCTCAAAATATTCACATTCTGAAATTTTGATTATTATAGAATTCAAAATAATAACTTTTCTCAAACTTACCGTGCTTAAAACGACATGTAACGCAAATTTCCACAGAACCATCTTTTTGAGTTCTAGAACAAGGAAAAAATTGTATTTTGTTCTGATTATTTCAAACTTTGATCAAACCTAAACAAATGCTTGCTCTTTCTATCATGCAAATAAACTCCTAAAAAAAGCTTAATTGTAACACAATAAAATAAATAATTTAATTTAATAATTTAACTTTCCTGTGTAAAATATATCTCCATTTTTCTTAAATTTAAGGATTTCGTTAATTTCTCCTTGGTGGTGTGTAATCTAAACAGATTTGAAAAAAATGAGTTTTACAAGAGCAATTATGCTGTTACTAAACCAATGATCGGTTAAATCATATAAAAAAGTAAGGTACATGATTACATTAAAAAATTAAACAGTAAAATTATAGACGAATATGTTTGAAGAGGGAGGGGGTTTAGAGCAACCATGAGCCCGTGAACTGACCTCTGGAGTTAAAGTGGACAAATTGTTATTTATTACTAAAAACTTTTAGATCATGTTAAGATTTAAGAAAAAGGCTTTTCTAGGAAAGCGGGTTCTAGGGCGATAAAGTGTTTGGGAAACTGGTATAAATAGATAAAATCTTGATAAAAAAGTGTTTATTACATATTTCATTACTTGCTCTTACATTTTCTAAAGAAAATTTATAAACAAAATATTTATTGTCAAAGCATTTTGATAGGTTTGACATACATATAATTATGAGTAAATTATCTCGTTATGGTTTTCGGGGAGTTGCAAGCAAGTGGTTATACAATTATCTTACAAATAGAAAGCAGATTGTTTTTATAAATGGAAATTTCTCCTCCATTGAAGATTTACAAACTAATTGTTCTACAAAATGATTAGCTTTTAGTTTGCAAATGATTCACAAACTGGAGTTCCTTTCCAATTCTTTTCACATACCAAATTGCTCTGAACAACTGATAAGTTTCTACTTTCCGGATGATAATAGACTGCAATTAGCTTGAAATGTTGTACAATGCAACAAATAAAGAACTTGCTAATCTACCGTGGTCAGCATATACATATATACATACAAAATCATTTACTGAAATTGTGATATAACATATATTTTAGTATAGTATCCAGTACTGAAATAGTACAAAATAAACAGTAGTCTGCGTATAATCAAATAAACCATGATGTATTCTCTTACATCAACCTAACTTCTGCATCAAATACTGATCTCTCCGGGATCAACTCATTAGAATTGGTTGATCCACAATTGATCTTATTATTAACACTACACATAAATGAGACAGGGTTGCATATTAGGTTTATCCCTAGTGCGGGTTAATACCTAGGCTTCCCACATCTTTGTTAATTATAATTATGTCCCTATTAAATCCAATAATCTTTAATAAGTACACCATGTTAATTTAAACAGATTGATGAAATATACATAGCATACTATTAAAAACTGTTTCAATTGCTGTATGAATAATTATGATCCTGTTTAGGATCATGAGACTGACCATTGACGGGATCCCTGGGGACCTCAGCATCAGGATGTTCAATCTTACAAACCATCACCTTTATATCCTCAAGGTTGTCCAATATCTTCTTATCAGGATGAAGTTCCCCAGGACAATTAATCCATCTCAACTCTAAGAATAACTGAAGCTCTGCTATCTTGGTATTGATCTGCTTAATGATCACTTCCCTACTGGTGTCCTCGATGTGCTTCTCCTCGGGCATGATATTCCAGGGTGAGTCCACTACCAGCCTATCAGTATGTGGATCAAAGATATACTCTATGGCTCCAAGGTTTATGATATCTTCAAGAGGTTGGAGGCTGTTACGGTCTCCAGTGTCCACATTCAAATCTATCTGTATATCTCAGTTGAATCCTCGTGATCATGCTTCAGATTCTTGATGATCTCATCCTCAGTTAAGTCTCCAGCCCTTATAGCAGCTGTGATAAATGGATCAAGACTACTCCTGAGTGGAGCCAGATCAAAGTCATCAAGATCAGGCTCTCTGACATCTTCAATTGTTCTCCGGTACTTGTGGTTCATCATCTTCTCGTCAGCACCACTCATCTGCTGTGAAACCAACTGTATATCCGTAGAAGTCTTGTGCGGTGTATGTAGCACAAGACCCAGAATGGTAGTGATAGACTTGTGTCTTCTTCTACGATTTGGGCTGTACTGACTGATTCCGATCTCTTGATGTATCTAAAGGACTGTTCACCCTCTCCTTGGAACAGTCCTGGATACAACAACCATCAGGTTCTAAAATTGTATTATAACCCCATTTCAGTAACAGACACTGCATCAGATTGATTAAAAGCCAATGAATTAACATTGAACAAAGTTAGACAAAAATTATACTCTTAGAAAGCATAAATCCATCGTGGACTCTCATATTTGGAGATACTCATCCAAAATGTCTATATTTACTTGGATATATACATTACATGGGAGACATAGGATTACCTTATCAATTGCATTAAAAAATAAGTTGTCGTCTGCAAATTCACCATTGCCAAGGTTAAAAATCTATTCCCTGATAATATCAAATCAATATCCTAATTGCTTATTTGAGTCACAAATATAAAATGTATAAATTTCAGAAAAAAAATACCAAAATTCGTCTAAAGAATTTCCAGGAATTTTAGCTACAGGGTGTCCCAGAAAACATGGGAATTCAGTGACGAATTCGATATTGTCTTTTCAAATAATTCTTTGATTTAGTATAGTGATACCTACTGAGAAAGCTGTAATCTGTAAGATTTTTGTCTGCTATTTTCACATTTTGTTTGTTTATGTTTTGACTGCATACGATTGTACTTAGTAAAACAAGAAAATTACAGTATACAAACAGAGTAAACTTGTCCGTATTCACTGTTCATCTTGCGGAGACATTATAGACACATCTTTGCAGTCTTTTACCCTTTTCATTGAATAAACTCTAGCAGACATAATAATATTATTTCTTTTGAAATTAGGTATTACAATGCTAATTCATAACAAAGACAAAATCGAATTCGTCACTGAATTCCCATGTTTTTTGGGACACCCTGTAGCTGGGAATCTACCAGTCTGAGAAGCTTTAATCAGTTTACGGCTTGAATTAAATGTTCTAAAAATTAACCGCAAACAAAGGAGGATACAGAAATTAAGTGAGGGGGTGCTAGATTTATTTCGGAACAAAAATCCAGATTAAGAAACATTTTTTTTACTAAAGTAATTTTCATGTTTTGCACAAAGTTTTCTTTCCCTTAAGTGCTATTGAGAAGCTATTCTGAAATCTCAGAGAGGAAACTACGCCCCCCCTGAATCTGTCAGGGGGTGCAAGGTCTTGTCGCCCCCCACCCTGTATCCACCCCTGACTACAAAGGGGTGAATAACTTAAAACCTTAACAATTTAATCAAATCTATTAATTTCTATAAACAATTTATGTGGTTCAAAAATAAAACCCACATAAAACATGATTTACCTGATTCAAATAGCAAGGACACTTACTTTTTCCACCCCTGTTTAACTTATCATATTTAGCTCATAAATTACATATACAAAAAATAGATTTTCTAAATATAGCGTTAAAACAGCTTTGTAAGTATATTTTACATAAATTTTACCCATTTTACACTCATAATTGTGATTTTTACTATATAAACTTTATAAACCATGTACTATATGTAAAAAAGGGGATTAGCAATAAATTCATTTTTGATCATTATTACCTTAAAACACAAACAATGAGAATTACACATAAACTCTTGGAGTTGTAAAGGGAAGGAGTGGATATCAAGCTTAACCTGTGGACTAAAGATGGAGAAGAATTTTTCTCATTTTCTAGAGTTTCTCGACCCGTCAACAAATTAAATATCAGTTGGTTAATAACTACAGGAAGTTCTGTTGTTTCTCAGCAATGGATAACGAGGGAGTCAGCTGAGAAATATTGCACTGGCATTCAAAGTCTAATCTGTGTCTATCATATGAATCATTTATATAGAAAATAAATAATGTAGTTTTTCCATTTATGAAAGTTGTAAACTTGTAATACAATTGTAATATCTTAATCTCTACTACAAAATAAATATTTAGATCTAAAAAAAATCATTATTACCTTTCTAGCTTTTCCATTCTCATAAATGAATATCTGATGGAATCGGTCCTGTTAATCAAAATATTTAATATATTCTAGCGATGAAAAATCTAACACATTTTTACCTTTTTTCTTTCAGGTGCGAGATACAAAAAGGTTCCATTGTTAACTGAAGTTTTATCAACATATTATATATGCAAAACAAAAAAATGTTGTTTGTCTTCTCAAAATAGTACCTGGATTAGGGGTAAAATTCATTTCCATTTCCACCCAACCGTTTTTTTCTTCTGTTTTAAAAACCTTGAATTGTTATAATGTGCGTACACAGCGTATATATATGTATATATTAAATAAAAAGTATAAAAGAAAAATAAATCTTTAATTTCAAGACAAAATACACAAGCCTTGCTTTTGTGCATTTAAGTTCTGTAGCAACCTGAAAATATACAATTAAAGCTGCATAAATAACAACTCTATTGATTTTGAAAGGGCTTGTTCAAACATGCAAGCTATTTGATGCGTTATAGTATCTGTTTTCTTTTTTTCAAATGACCAATCACAATAAAATATTACTTGACATAGTAACGTGATGCTTCTATTTTGTACTCGGTTCATCCAGTTTGCTAAAAAAAAATGTTATTTTCTGAAAAATAAAACAAATGAGCACCAACAAATATACTAAAACTGTAAAAATGTTGTTGAAAAAGAAACATTTTGATTTGCTGATCTCAACTGATGGAAGAGATACATCACATAGATTCAGCCTGCTTTTAAAAAGTCTCATTAATTTTTAAGACATGGTCGACTTTGAAGTATTGCAACGCCTTGTACTTTGATTTTACTGCTCTAACTCACTTATGCCCATTACATGTACATTTTAGCACTATGAAGCACTTAGTGTTAGCTTTGGTTTTTAAGAAGTAATTGGCAAAATTTTCATCGATTTTTGCTTGAGAACTTGAGACCTTTAAATCACAGTGACGTCCTAAGGCTGCTAAAAATCTAATTATATAAAGTCGACCATTAAATTGCTAGTAAATCTTTAATAGAAAACTTCATAAACTATCTTTTATTACGGTTATCACAATTAATCAAACAACAACTTTTGATATTGCTCGTATTTTTATAGATGTGCAATTGTACAATGTAAATGCTTTATTTATTTTTCACAAAAAATCTTTTTAAAGGGAGTGTTTGTGAAAAATGAAAGGGGGTATAGGCTTAATGCGATAAAAAAGCGCTTTTGATCGCTACTAATTTTACTTATGTCTGTTGCATCTATAAGGAGAAAATTGTTAAAGACGTCTCATAACGAATAACTTAGTGCCCATACAAATTCAGAAAATTGCAACATACAACTTAGACCATAAAAAATCAATTTAATTTCAAACAAATCATTCAGATATTACAACCTATAGTCATCGATTATCTTTCGCCACATTTGTATATAGTTTATATTTTATAATATTTTATTTTTTTAAGAAAACGTTTTTCACGGTTTTTGAAAAATGTGAGTGGTGCACGGCACTCTTAGATAGTTGCGCAAGCGACAAGAGAAATAATCAAATTCAAAACAAATTGATTAAAATAATATTATAAAATATAAACTATATACAAATACGGCGAAACATAATCGATGACTATAGGTTGTAATATCTGAATGATTTGTTTGAAATTAAATTGATTTTTTTACGGTCTAAGTCATATGTTGCAATTTTCTGAATTTGTATGGGTTCTAAGTTATTCGTTATGAGACGTCTTTAACAATTTTCTCCTTATAGACGCAACAGATAGAAGTAAGATTATTAGTGATCAAAAGCGCTTTTTTATCGCATTAAGCCTATACCCCCTTTCATTTTTCGCGAACACTCCCTTTAAACTTACATATTAGAGAAGAATTAGAAATCCACAAAACCCTTGTCAGAATAGGTTCGGCTAACTTACACAATATAAGTTTGTTACAGAAGGATACAATTTTAAAGAAACAAAATTTTAAAATTATATATATCGGATATTTCTATAACAGACTTTTCCTGAAATGCTTGGGTTTTCCACGCGAAATTTAAAGACAGATCCATTCTGCGAAAATACTGCTATCCAGAGAGAAACGGTTGGATTTCTAAAATATTCATCTAAATTTAGTTTTTCTTTTGAAATTCACTATTTGTTTCCCATTGTAATAACAAAAATTCAATCGCCATGGTTTAGATTCTTAAAATACCATTCCTGGAGCCGGCTTTTGGATAATGAATAGTTTTGACTCTAGGATACTGATTTTTTAAATTTTGAACATTTTTCCACTTTCCATAATGGTTCCAAGAGTATTCAGACACCTACAAATTAAATATTTTATTTCTTCAAGCCTCTCAGCTTTCAACTTATCTCAATAGATTCTTATTTTTTTCAAATTTAACTCTAATACAACTTATGTAACACAAATTATGCGATAAAGTAAAGACCTCTAAAAAAGCTCCTATCTTCCAAAATGTATAACATACAATACTATTTTTTACTTGAAAAAAAAGGTTTGGTCGAAAACCTGTAAACAAATGTGAAGGACGTTTTCTTTGGTTGTTAAAAGTTGGCTTATTCAATTTTAAGTGATTTGTTAAAAAAGAATCTTATGTGTCAAAGGAAAATACCTGGGAATCATCAAAGACAGCATAAGCAAGTTTCCTTAAAAAAAATAACAAATTGTGAAGAATGTTTATGTAAATTTACAAAATATACTACTTTGAAGAGGGAGACCACCAGATAGCTTGAGATGACGAAAGGACTTCCTCTAATTATGACCATCATTAAATTCAAATGAAAACTAATTTATACTTGTTACTCTCGATTATCAGAATAATTGCATTTTTAATCTTAAAAAATTCAAATGATTAAATAATTCCTTCATAAACCCAATCCGGGATTCCACAGTATACAACATCTTCTACTCCCTCTGTTGTCAGCTGAACACTCTTATTACTATATGCAGAGTCTCTAAAGTAAAAGCAATACAAATATGAATATGGGTTAGCAAAACAGTCTGAAATTTTTAAATAATCAAAGAACAAAAATTTGAAACTATCAATGCAATTTTAAGTTACCCAATCTTTTTAGGAATACATCCTGTCACCATACTTATTTGAAGGTGAATGTAGGACGGACCATAATTAAATTTAATTTGATTGGTTTTACTATAAACTAGATCTGAAGCTTTTTCACAAAGTATTTGTGAAATCCAAAATAAATCGTTGTTCTATTCTAAGCAAGATAAAACTAAATCTCTGGAAGAATTTGTTCTTTATATTTACTGATCAAACACAAAGAAAATATAGAAATATCAAAATAAAGAAGAAAAACAACTTCAAAATTTATCTTAATAAAACATTTTATTTTCCTGTAAAATATGTTGTTTTCTTTGTTGACGTAGACAAGCGAATTTCCAGTGGGAGCCCAGGATATTAGACGAACAGATGTTTCAAGTTCAGGGAAAGATTGAACAAGATTAGTTGTCAGATCTACCAGTACGTACTTTCCTATGACCGAATTTCTCCAAACAGCATGTCCCTTTACCTTAGAAAAGTTGTCAGATCAATATTGTAACATATATGTTATATTTTACCCTGTAAAATGGATTAGGAGAAGTACATTTCTAATATATTGTGTTAGGATATACCAGAACAAGATGTAAATTTCTAATATATTGTGTTAGGATATACCAGAACAAGTGCGAATTTTCTGTCGTTAGATAACTCCAACATTTGAGGTTTTAGAAGTCTAAAATAATAGATAAAATTACAAAAAGTTCACTGTTTAGTGTTTAGTGTTTACTTAATAAATTCTTACCTAGTTAGATTATCTGTAAGTACTGACACCAAATCCCCTGAGAAAATTACATTTTCTTTACATTTACAGACATATAGGTCATATCCTATTCTTATTCAAATATTATTTAGGTAATTAATAAATGAAACAATTTTTTTTGTTGGATTTACCTGTAATAAGATTCCAAATGTTAAAGTCTTCAGTAATCATCTCTGAGTTGGATATCCATTTCCCAGTGACTAACTCTGGTATCAATTTGCCTAAAATATTAAAACATTTAAAATTCTAAATTAAAATCTAAAATTTAGATAATTGAGTGTATTCAGTATTTGTTCTAATTTAATTTTAACTTTTCAAATGTGGTAGTATTTATGTAACATACTTGTAATTCAAAAATACCATTTTCTAAGCAACAATAATGATATTTATGACCTTCCTGTCCATTTACAGCCCTTTCAAAAATTAATGTTCCAACTCACTTTAAAAAGACACAAAAAAAGGTTAATCAATAATTACTGGTGATTTCAAGTTTAAAACAATAATTACTGAGTGGAAAATGTACATATTTATGAATTTAAAACATGCCTGACACATAGTCAGATAAATCCAGATTGAACTTTGTGATATTCATGTTCCGCCTAAGTTCAAATAATAAATGAGGTTAAAATATTTTGTTCAAAAACTATTATTTTGTGTGCAAATTGATTGCCAGGTTTTTCAGAGGGGATTTTTAACAAAGAAAAATTATTTTAAATTAAGGATTTTGATTAACATATATTCGTAGAACATACTTTGCAGCAACCACGGAAACATTAAACAGGACACTAAACCAATTTCATTTATGAATATTAAATATGAAGTCAAAACGAAACCAGTAAAAGTAAGTTATTTCTATGTAGAGTCAGATTTTGATTACAAAGGATCTTGGTTTCCTGAGTACAGATGTCACTGCAAGAAAACCACAATTCATTCTTCTCTAGTATGATTTGTAATGAAGATAAGGAATAATATGTCATGAAAAAGTCACAATAGATCCAACAAAGTGCAAAAGATGACCAAAAATAATCTAAAATAGCAAACCTTTCAAGTTATATTTTATTCATACAGTGTATAGATAATGGTCAACATTAGAGTGACCCACATCTTTACAGATTTAAAAAAAGGCTTGAGTTAAAAGTTTAGGCTGAAACTTATATTTTAACTTTTTAACTTTAATAATTTATTTTAATTAAATTTTTACAAAATTTTTAAATATTTATATGATAGAAGATGGAATTATTTTGAAATTTCCATATTTCTTGTTATTTATTTTCTTCTTGTTCGTACATCTTTGAATCAAATTTCGACTAATTTTGAAAATAAAAAGAAAAGGTTTTTTGGATGTCCTTGTAGTACGCCACTTTACAAAAAAGAACTATTTTCTGAACTTGAATTGCATTGAACTAGCTGATAAGATCTTGCTTTTTTCGGAACTCTGTCCAAGCCCCCATCTCTAATATCACATTTACACATTAAGGCTCTTCAAATAGTTCTTTTGACATCCAATTGTGGAGCAGGTAGGAGAGAGATAAGGAGGTTTCTAGGGTTTCCCTATATTCCTTCAATTAAACTCTTTCCAAGTTAAGGGGCATTAAGGAAACCAATAACTTCACCCCTTATGCAAAATGGGGAGTTGTATGCCCTAAAGCCCATTAAGAGGAATCTTACACAGCAGTGCAGTCCTAATAGCTGGTCGAGTAAAAAACCGGTATAGTTTGCATGGCAATCAGGGATTAGATTCCTTCTTTCAGTTACACCAGGCTGAAGATGAAGTCTTGTTTTATTCTATGTACATTTCTTATTTCCCCTGTGGGATAGGAGATGTGCAACTAAACGCAGTGTTCAATCAAACTGTAAAGCTGGCACCGCTTTAAGAGAGTTCCGTTCTCTTCTGTGGGCAGTTGATGTCCAAAGTGAATAAATACTAAAGTGGAACAGACTATGGCAACGACGACAGGTTGGGCCTTAAGGTTTTATTTGGTTTGGAAATAATTGCATGAAAAGATTTCGTTTGGAAAGTAAAGACTAAAAAAATAGACTAAAGACCCATGTAAATGTCGTCTTCAGTTAGAACTTCGAAATTTTCATAATAAAAATAAAATTTTTTGAATGTTTGTTAATAGTTTATATGTAAATACTATATAAAGTCGCTTCATCAATTCATTGATTTTGCCCGGCCCTTCTGATTCTATAGGAATTTATCTTTAAAACTGCTTAGTTTTGTTCTTTCATCATCTCACTTCATTCCGAAATGTGTTTATAAATTTCTTAAACACATCTATGTTATTATCCAGTGAAATATATGCTTTTGGGGGTGGGGTTTTGCCCCCCCCCCTAAAAAGAAAAAAAAAATGTAAGCCCTTCATGGAAAAAAACCTTAATACAGAATATGCCTCTCTTAATATCTTTAAAACTACAGGGTGTCCCACGAAACATGGTATTTGAATTTATTTGTGACATTAAGTCTTCTATCTACTTTAAAATGTATGATTCTTGAAACAGTTATCACATAATTCTCCTAGCCCTGGCATTTCCAAAAGGTGGTCTGCGTTTTTTGTGCTTTCAATATTACCGGAGATATAAAGAGTTTGGTTCAGATTTCAATTTTGTTAAATAAAAGCAAAATTGTCGAAGTCTGAACGAAATTCTTCATATCTCGGGCAATATTGAAAGCACAAAAAAGGCAGACCACATTTTGGAAATGGCAGGACAAGGGAAATTTTGTTATTATTATCTCTAGAAATTTACTTCTAAAATTAGGTTGACAAAATAAACGCAGCAAATTATATCAAAAATCAAGACGACATTCAAGTCGTCCTGCATACTGTCATGTTTCGTGGGACACCCTGTATGTCTAGTTCTCCACCACTCTTAAATCTGTCAAAACACATAAGTGAAGACCAAGAGATAAATTTAGAAGATCTTAATTTTTCGGTATCACAAATTGTGCCTTCTTTGTTTTACAGATTATGCATGCAGGCATTATTGTGCGGTCTGAAATTTTTTATTGTGCATTAAAACAGCTAAAATTCACTTCTGAAATCTTAATTTACGTTTATCTATATTTAAGTTAAATACAATTTCTAAGTCTGTGTTTGTAAACAAAGGGAGTCCAGTTTCTGTTGTTCTGTGCACTCCGTACAGACCAATATATGTATATATATATATATATATATATATATATATATATTATTTGGGACATAAAATGTCGTCATCCAACTATGAGTTTGGCCCACTTTAGTATTTAATCACTTTGGTTGATAACTGTTTATATTTTACCTAATTCATTCATTTTGTTCAATTATTTTAAAAGCTTAAATACTGTTTGGCATTTAAAAGACGAAGGATACACAATGACGGCACATCATTTAATTTTACAAATAGGTCAAACATGAGAAAAAATTATAAATTAATATATAAAAAAAAATTCATTGAAAACATACAGTAATCATGGGCTGCAACAAAACACTGTTCTAAAATCTGTAATTTATTCCTTGCAATTAATCATAGTCCGATTCATTTAAAATAAACAATTTAACTGGGTGTTATCAACAAGAACTTCAAAGCATTTTAGAAGTAATAAGCAACCGTAAAATCAACAAAGCTGCTCACCCTCTGTTGCAGTGATTGATGAATGCAAAATAACAATCTTCATGGATAGGACTTTACGTCACTTGAGACACACGTGTGTTATGTGTAATAATGTAATTGTAAAGTCTGGAAACATGACTCGCGAACTCACCTCACTTCCAGCTAAATTAAAACGTGCACAACTCAAATAATAACACTTAAGTGCAAAGGTGCGTGCGTCCTCATTACTACTTCCTTATAATGCATCTACAATGTTCGTTTTGCATCACAAAAAAAATCAATTATCTGGAGTTTTATTTGTGAATGGGAAGAGAATGTACATACAAAGTTTTTCAATGTCAATATATAGGGTTAAGGTTCAAATGTAGATTGTAACTAGGGTTGTTAATCGTTTTTGTAAACGATCGTTAAACGATCGTTAAACACGATCGTTAAACGATCGTTAAACGATCGTTTTTTGTTTTGTTTTCAAAAACGATCGTTTCTTTTTCGGAAAAAAACGATCGTTTTTAAAAACGACCCACTCGTTTTGAACTTTTAAGAAAACGAATAGCGATCGTTTTTGAAAACGACAACCCTTCGTTAACGATCGTTAACGAAGGGTCGTCGTTAACGATCGTTAACGAAAGGTCTTCGCTAACGATCGTTATCGAAGGGTTGTCGTTAACGATCGTTAACGAAACGACGAAATTGATCAAAACGGTCCTTTTTGGAAAAAAATTACATGCAACTTTATGGAATGTCGTCTTACATGAAGTTTAACAGTTGTGGGAGAGTTAAAACTCCTTGATATTTTCTTAAAAACTACTCAATGATATGTACAGATGCCCTTCAGGTCGGTTTCCTCCCTTCGTTAACGATCGTTAACGAAGGGGTAGTCGTTAACGATCGTTAATGAAGGGTTGTCGTTAACGATCGTTAACGAAGGGTCGTCGTTAACGATCGTTAACAAAACGACGAATTTTATAAAAACAATCGTTTTGAAAAACGATCGGTTTGAAAAACGAGCATTTTGAAAAACGATCGTTTTAAAAGCGACCATTTTTAAAAAACGAACTTTTTAAAAAAACGATCGTTTCGTTTTCGATTTTTCGTCGTCGTTTTCATAACAAAACGATCGTTTTTCTGAAAAATGAAAACGTTAACATCCCTAATTGTAACACAATATGAATTACCCAGGTTAAAAACCATATTTAGATCACAAGCAGACTGTGGAGGTGAATGTCAGCTAGTTTGATGTATTGATTATATAGATTTGTTGACTTTAAAAGTCACTATAGTAAAATAAAGAGATCTAAAATGGATATTTCTAACATTTATTTAAAAAACGAAAGTTTTGAAATATTTGCATATAAGACTGAGTTAAAATTGGTTGATTTAGAAATTAACAAAGGAATTAATGATGAATATTTGATGGCACTTCATGGGAGTGTTGTAGAGCTTCATGTTGGTGGAGCAGATCAACAGGAACTGAAACAGTTATCANGAATGCATGATGAACTGGGAACCCTCGGGTATAAGCACGCCTGCTGTTAGCTGAAAATCTGTTTCATCATCATGAAGGAGTCAAGAGGCTCCCTGTGTCGAAGCTGTTACTAGCTCAACTCTCCTAACCTGACTGAGCTGGGATGTGTAGAGGGGTGAGGAGGGGACGAAGAAGCGAGGGGGACATGTGGGTGCTTCATAGGGGAAATGGATACACATGTCTCGAGAATAGACCACGGCATCTGAGTCGGTAAAATCGTCTTCCTTATATTTCAAATTTGTGTTAACAAGATTATGCTCTAACAAATTCATAAGATGCAGCCGGCTTATTTTCGTATGTAAACCGAAAACCGAAATTCCTTTTGAACCTCTAAGTGAAAATGTAGATTGTAGATTATAGACGTTAATCAATTCATACTGAACTTATTACTAATTCTGGGCTGTAGAAAATGTCATGAAGCATTTTTCCATCATAGAAGTTGAAGCCACATTTATGTGTCTTTGGAATGTATAATCCATCCAATGATATACAAAATACAATTTGAGTAGATAAAAATCAAACTTTCTTATTACAGGCATGACATTTGTCCGAGGTCAGGTTAGGATATGAGAAAAAATTGCCATGTTATTTTAATATTATACCTCCCCGCCAACAATCGAGATTTAAAAAAGATTGAAAACATCAACCTACACCTTTGAACAAAACCCGATTTTTTTCAATTTCTTTATTTGATTAACGAAACCATGCAACAATCAAGGATTTTTGATGATTCTGGAATTCTCCAATGTAGGATTTGTGCCCTAATTCGGGATCAATTCTAAAAATCAATTTATAGTTAAAAAAACCATCAAAAGAAATCAATCAATTCAAGTTTTAGATTTTAAATCAATGTTATTCAGCTCAAATGTTTCTTCTCAAAATTAATTTTAATTACAACTAATTTTAATTGTAATCTTTTAATTGCAACTAATTTTAAGTACAATTGTTGACTTTAAAAGTCACTATAATAAAACAAAGATATCTGAAATGGATATTTCTAACATTTATTTAAAAAAACGAAAGTTTTGAAATATTTGCCCATGGCTGAGTAAAATTGGTTGGTTAAAAATGAACAAAGAAAACTATTGACGAACATCAGTTGGAACATATTTGTAGAACTTCATGATGGTGGTGCAGATCATCAGGAACTGGAACAACAGGTTTCTGCTCACCTAAGGCTTTAGATAGGAGGGGGAGAGATCGTGGTTTTATCAGTTTCGAATATGAGGGAATGCGTCTCAATGTTCGCCTGATAATTTTGGAACTCTTGGAACAATATTGAGCTGGATGTAAGCATTGTCTGTTGATAGCTAGGTATCTGTATCATCACCATGAAGGAGCCAGGGTTGCTCCCTGAGACAGAGTTGTGATCATCTCCGGTGTTTCAATCTGACTGCCGAGTGCCGGGCTGGGATGTGTAGAGGGGTGAGGAGGAAACGAAGGAGCGAGGGTAACATGTGGGCTTCATAGAGGAAATAGATACACACGTCTTGAGAATAGACTACGGCATCTGAGGCGGTAAAATCGTCTTCCTTATATTTCGAATTCGTGTTAACAACAATCTTTTTGATTGCTAAAATTTCTGTTGGAAAAACTTAATTGAGTCTTTGCCACAAACTCAAACGGTGTAAACATTTGATATTTGAAAATCAGATCAATTGACCTAAGAGAACGCATAGTTTAAAATATCTAAAGTCTTCGACATTGTGTTCCAAAGATATTGGGATGAGAGAATCAGATTTTGTTGCAAAAACTCATTTCCTTCAGAAAAATAAGATGTCAAACTTTCCTTGGGATATTTAAAAAAATGAAAATGTCCCTGCATGATAATTGAAAGACTGCAGTATGGTTTTGGTGAATTATACT